TGGTGGGTTTGAACCGCCAGCCTTCTGGTTAACAGTCAAGTGCCTTAGTCACTAGGCTACCAGTCTCTAATAATCTTTTCCAAAAACATACAGCCATTCAAATTCACATGAAAATAAAGTGCTTTAGGAGTGAGTGTTAAGATGGTAAAAGGGAACTTTCTGGAAATGGTAGTAATACTTACATTGCATCTTGTATAAGACCTTTTATAAATCCGTTTTGTATAAATTTTACCACTTGGGTAAGACCTAGATTCCTACTCTTCCTATTTCTTCATCAGTCTCCTTAACTTTAACATATAAGAAATCAAATTACCTTCAATGGATCAAGTTCATTCTCATAGGATTTGACAATTTCCTTTGAAGATGTTAACTGAGCTTCTTTACTAGTAATTTGATCTTGAATTTCACATGCTTTTTCCTTATTCTGCTTCAGATATTTTAGTTCTGTCTGACATTCTTTTACTTTCTGACCTTGTGTCTGACGTACCTGTCGAAGTGTTTCCAAGGCTTTAATATACCTTTGAAAATATTAAATAAAAATCAAATTTCTAGCTAAGCATATTATGGTATATTTATATAATGGAATATTATGCAGTCATTAAAATTACAAAGACTTTTTAATAACTTGGAAAATGCTTATGATATAGAAGTGACAAAATTACATAGATACTGTTCACCAGGTAAAGAAATACATACTCATAAAGAAAACTGAAAGGGAATATACCCAACAGTTGCCGCTGGGTGAGAGGTTATAAATGATTATTTTTTTTCTTTAAACTTTTCTGTTTTAAAAAAGAAACATCCAAATTGTAAACATGGCTCAAAAGCGACACTTAAATCAACTACAAAGTTTAGTTAAAGCATACAAACCTTGTTGCTGAAAAAATCTCATCAAACTTTTGCTTCAGAGCCTTTCCTTCACTTAAAGGCCAATTAGACTCTTCTTGGTGACAAAAGATGACATTATTTAGCACAGACTTGGAAACCCCAAGAGAACTTATCATCTCTCGGTCAATTTCTGCACACTTAGAGCTGAGACTGACTTTTTCTCCATGCCTATAGTAAAGCAAAAGAATTTGTGTAAAATAACCTTCAGTTTCACCTTTTCTATTGCTTAATCAATCCATCACAATGTCCCTGTTTAAATAACAAAAACAAAATCCCCTCTGGTGGCATAGTGCCTAAGGCATCTGACTGCTAATCAGAAGACTGGTGGCCACCAGCCACTCCTGGGAAGGGAGGTGGGGTAATCTTCTTCCACAGTGATACCACCTGGGAAACCCAAGGAGGGGTAACTATGAGTCCATTGACTGGACAGTGATGAGTTTATATCATTAGTAACAACTTTCTCATGCTAAACTCTTAAATGATTTAGCAGTTTAGTGATAAAACAGTATTTAAAATAGGGTAGTACAGGAAAGGATGTCAGAATTTTTTTTTAAATAAATTAGAATTTTTAGATGTATTAATTTATATGCAACATGAGGAAAATTAAGTGTCTTGCATCCCTACAACTAAAAAAATAATGAAAACAAGAGAGGTAAACAAACATCTAAAGAACGTATAGTTTAGAAAAGGGGATGTTTACCAACAGACAGATGGAAGAAGGAGAGTAAAGGTAAACTTCAGTGGCTCTTATCAAAGCAGGGTCCAAGGAGGAAGATTCTTCATCAACGGACTTCAAGTTCCAGGGTCACACTGACAAGGTGATCCAATACAGAACTGCTTCAGGACTAGTTAGGTTGATGCCACAAACTCCTAATACATGATTCCGCTTTTTCTCAGCCCTGTTCATCAATCAACCTTTAGCTACTTTGTTCACACACTAGTTCAAGGAAGAATATGTATGTTCTCTATGTCCTTTATTTCAGGCTAAGTTTTGTCAGTGTATTTCAGTAATGCCTAATAAGAATAACTTTGTAACACTCATTAGTTTTTCAGAGTTTATAAAGCCAAGCACAAGCCTGAGATTGTGGTAAATTCACCAAAGGATTGCTATCCCATAAAAATCTAAATTGCCAGCCCCAATGAGCACTCACTGACTCAAACTTTTATCATATTGCAGTTGATTCCTATTGTTACACCTGTCCATCAACTTTTCTCCCCTCTATCCATATAACTGGGAGCTCTGGTAGCATAGTACCTAAGGCACTTGACTGCTAACTAGAAGGCTGGCGGTTCAAATTCACCAGCCACTCCTCGGAAGGAAGGTTGGGCAATCTACTTCCGCAGTGATACTGACTCAGAAACCCAAGGAGGGATCGCTATGAGTCATGTCCGACTCCACGGCACATAACAACAACAACAATCCATATAACTATGGTGGCACAGACCTTGGACTAACAAAAGCTTCCTGACTGACCAGCCATAGTTAACTGGGTCTGGGATTGAGAGACTGCTGCCTCAGCTTGGTTACTATAAAACAGAGAAGTGATACTGGAAGCTGTTTTAATAGCCATTTTCAGTCTTGTGGAGAGTGAAACAGAGAAAGCTAACCTGTACCAAGAAAAAAATTTGAGCTCTAGAGGGTCACATATAAGAGATGGAGAAAAGGTTGATGATTTCCCTACATCATTATACCCAGGGCCAGGAGCACTCCTGCCCTTGGGTTCCAACAGATTCCTCAGTATCCTTCATCAAAAGGATAATTTTACCATTTTGTTTTATTTCTTCTATTCAGTATCTAGGAGCTGTGGTGGTGTAACGCCTAAGGCATTTGACTGCTAACCAGAAGGTTGGAGGTTCAAACCCACCAGCCACTCCTTGGAAGGAAGGTTGGGCAATCTACTTCCGTAGTGATACCTCCTTGGAAACCCAAGGGGTCGCTATGAGTTGAAATTGACTTGACAGCAGTGAGGGTTTTTTTTTTTTTAAATTATTCAATATCTAATGAGCTCTGGTGGCATGTGGTTAAGTGTTCATCTGCTAAGCAAAAGGTCAGCAGTTTAAACCGACCAGCTGCTCCACAGGAGAAAGATGCAGAGGCTTGCTTCTGTAAAGACTTATACCCTTGGATATCCTATGAGGTAGTTCTACTCTGTCATATAGAGTCACTATGAATTAGAAAATGACTCAACAGCTATGGGTTATACAATATACAATTACATTGTTCTTTATACATTTCAACTTGTATTTTGAAAATACAAATCTGTATGTATTTTGGTATTTTCTTCCTTTCCTGTCGTTTTAGTGACTGTTTGTGTTCTTCATGCATGATGCTCTTGATGTCATTTCCACAACTCATCTGGTCTTCAGTCACTGGTGTTCAATGCATCAAATCTATTCTTCAGATGGCATATAATCAAAGTCGTATTTGGCTCTCATCGACTTGTTTTAATTTTCTTTAGCTTCAATGTCAACTTACATATGAGCAACTGAAAGTCTGTTCCATCATCAGTTCCTGGCCTCCATCACCTCTTTCCACAGATGTAGTCAATCTGGTTTCTCTGTATTCTGTCTGGCGTGATCTGTGTGTACAGTCATCATTTATGTTGTTGAAAAACGGTTATTTGCCATGAATAAGTCATTGGTCTTGCAAAATTCTATCATGTGGCCTCTAACGCCATTTCTATCACTAAGGCTAAACTACCAATGATTATTCTTTGTCTTTAACTTTCACATTCCAATCACCAATATTTATCAACATAAACATTGATTGCATGTTTGGTCAATTTCAGATTGCAGAAGTTGGTAAAAATCTTCAATTTCTTCATCTTTGGTTCTAATGGTTAGTGCAGTGTGTTAGACTGGGTTCTCTAGAGAAACAAAACCACTAAAGCTTATATATATAGAGAGAGAGAAATTTATCTTAGGAAAATGTCTCACACACTTACAGAAGCTGGCAAGTCAAAAGTTCTTGAATCAAACATCAAGCTGGAGGCTGTTCCCGACTCTTGCAGCCACAGGGGCTGAGGAGCTCAAGATTGGCAGGCAGTATACTGGCTGTTGACTCCAACGAATGACAAATCCAAGATCTCCAGGCTGAATGGTGGATTGTTCACTCACAGACAGTTGTAGGCAGCATAACAGAATCCTGATTCACAGAAGAATGTCTCTTTTCCCAGGATGTCCATAAATATACTGGAAGCAGGCCACACCCCTAGAGAAACTCCCTTTCAACGGATTGGCTGCTCAAAACATATTCATCTGATCCTATGATGGGAATAACCACATCACAACTGCTTAAACCACACAGAATTGTGGTCCAGCCAAGTTGATACATAACTGCAACTATCACATGAAGAAATTTGAATAGTAGTAGTAGTAACTGGTCTTTCTTGTAGGCATATGGATATTATCCTATCACTGACATCATTGTACTTAGGATAGATTTTTTTTTTTTTTAATTGTAATTTGGGTGAAAGTTTACAGAGCAAATGTATTTTCCATATAGCAGTATATACATATTTTTGTTTCACGACATTGACTGCAATCCCCATGATGTAACAACTCTCTTCCCACTTCCTCCCTGTGGTTACCTTCTCCCTGTGTCCTTCTTTCCTATGCATTCCTGCCCTCTGGGCTACCTCCCTGTGCAAATACAACCCTTCTGATCACCCATGATTAATTGTTCTAAGGAGTTCACCTACCTGGTGTAAATGTTCACCTTATATGCCTGTCTATTGTTTGGCTGGGAGCCATGGAAGTGAGTTCAAATCCAGGCCTGAAAGGTAACTAGGGGCTGTAGGCTCAGGGATTTCACTAGTCTCTACCAGACCAGTAAGGCTGGTCTTTTCTTCTGATTTTAAGTTTTATTCCACAGTTTTCTCCCACTCTATCCAGAATCTTCCAGGATAGATCCTGAGATGTTCTTTTTGATGATGAATGTAACACTTGTTCAATCTGTCATTCCTGGCTTAGTAGATCGTATGATTCTCTGATTCAAAATGCCCAATACAAGTCCATTTCAGCTCACTAATGCCCAAGATACTGATTTTTATGTGTTCCATTTCATTTTCAACAACTTCCAATTTTCCTAGATTCACATTTCTTACATTCCATGTTCTGATTATTAATGAATGTCTGCAGCCTAAGGCATTTGACTGATAACCAGAAGGTTGGCAGTTTAAACCCACCAGCCACTCCATGGAAGGAAGGCTGGGCAATCTACTTGCATAAAGATTTACCATCTCAGAAACCCAAAGGGGGTCTCTATGAGTGGGAATTGACCCGATGGCACTGAGTCTGGTTTTACGGGTCCAATCTTAGAGGAACACCTTCTGGCACTGTATCAGACAATATTGCATGGCTCTTCCTCAAGTTTTCCAGTAATGATCAGGCAGTGTTTCAATGCCATTCATAAGGTTTTCAGTGGCCAGGTTTTTTCAGAAGTATATGGTCCTGTCCATCTTCCCAGTCTGACTACGTCTGGAAGCGCCGCCGAAACCTGTCCACCATAGCTGACCCTGCTGATATTGAATTATCAGTGGCATAGCCTCCAGCCTCACAGTAACTCACAAGCCAGCACAGTATGACAAA